CCCCTGTTCTAAAGAAACATAAAAGCAATATTTATGTTGCTTTAGAGCTTACAATTTCAACAAATTTAAAAGATTCTAGTTGGCAAAGGGTGATATTTCATGTTTCTAATCCCATCAGATCAATCTGGATAATTTCTTTAAATAACAGCAAAGAAAGATTTATTGAAGTTCTTGAAGAGTTTTACAAATGGGATGTTATTACTCAAAGGGCTTTGAAATAGCAGATAGGATACAATAAAAAACAATCTCTTCATGCCCTCTTTTATATACTGTAAAAGAAGAGGAAAATGGAAAAAAGATTTCACACAAGCTCTCCATAAGCAAACCACACCCATATTTTAACTTTTATGTTCAATTGTACATTAACTATACTTGCAATCTTACAATTTTCACCATTCTCAGATGTTTTTTTTAAAATCTGATTGGGATTTTTATCACATTTGTAGCATTGATTACAATTCTATATGCATTATTATACAAATCTCTAATAAAAGCCTTCTATTCCTTCAATTCTGTTTCAACCCAAATCATTTCATAGCTTTTTAAAAATTTCTTTACTCTGTTGAAGGCTTCATGTTTACTTCTCTTCATACACTTCCATCAAAGAAATATTGGAGTAGGATTCATACAGAAGATTTTTAAATGAATATAAAGATAAAACTGGGGACTTCTTTTCTTTATTTTGTTTTATTTATCTGTCAAACATGTACAAGATGACAAGTATGAACATAAACAAGAACAAAGGAAGTAAATACAGATAAATGCAGACAGTAAGACAGGGATGGTAGGCACATTGGTATGCTTATGCACACCCTCTTTAAGGACCTCTTAAGAATGGAGTGAGGTCCATGGTAGACATGGTAGGTTGAAGCTGTAAGCGGTTGAGTCTGTAATAACAGAGTCTTGTAGGGCGTTCTAGATAGACCACTCTGTTGTTGTATTTTCTGCAATTGAGTTTGTATCAGTTTACCTTGAGTTTGTATCAGTTGTTTGCCCATGTATTACTATGATTGAAGCTGAAGAAGTTGTTGACAGGCAAGATGTTATAGCAGACAATTTTGTGAAGTATGCTTAGATTGGACTGCAGTTCCAGATTGTCCAGGCTCAAAATTTCGAGCCTGGAGGCATAGGGAATTCTATTGTAAGTGGAGAAGTGGAGTACTTTTCTTTTGGGTCTAACAAAGAACTTGAAAAAGTAGAACTTTGATGTTATATATGCTAATAGCAGCAAGAATGCTCTATGCACAAAAATGGAAAATTATTTTAATACTCACAATGAATGACTGGCTCAAAGTTGATGGAGTTAGTAGAGATGACTAAATCGACTGATTAATTAAAGAAAAGAATACAACTTTGCTTTTACTTGAAAACCACTTCTCAACTTCATGCTTAATGGAGAAAAAAAAAGAAACTTCAATTTTGAGTTTTGCAGATTAGATAAGTTTGTTGTTGTAGAAATGGTGAGGAACATATTACAGGTAGTCCTCAACTTACAACCACAATTGAGCCCAAAATTTATGTTGCTAAGTGAAATATTTGTTAAGTGAATTTTGCCCCACTTTACAACTTTTCTTGCCACTGTTGTTAAGTGAACCATTGCAATTAAATTGGTAATCTGGCTTCCCCATTGACTTTGCTTGATAGAAGGTCACACAAGCTGATCACATGACCCCAGGACACTGCAACCGTCATAAATATGAACCATTGCCAAGCATCTGAATTTTGCTCATGTGACCATGAGGAAGCTGCAACAATCATAACTGTGACAAACAGTCATAGTCACTTTTTTCAGTGTTATAACTTTGACTGGTCATTAAATGAACTGTTGTAAGTTGAGGACTATCTGTATTATGTAAAAATAAAAAGTTGAGGTTGTATCCTATTACCTTATTGTACCGCACTAACAAGAAATGGAAGTCAATGCTTTTGTTTTCGTTTCCTCTTTTATCTTACACTTTTTCCTCCCCTACTTTCCTATTATTTTCATTTTTCTTTATAGTTTATATTTTGATAACTAATAACATTTGTAAGACAACACACTTTCAAACAACTTATTTCCATCAGAATTGCTCTGCATTTTTTCTGCCACTGTGCAGCATTTATTCTCACACAACCTTTTTTCTATCCAGAACCCCCTTCATTTTATCGTTATTCCATACAATATTTCTCATTAGCACAATTTTCTGCATTTCAGTGGTGCTGTCTAATATAATTCTTTCCAATTCGGTTCCAAGCAATTTCCACATTCTCATTTGTTCTTGGATTTCTGAATGGCACAGTAACTTTTTCTGTGTGTTTTTCAGAGATATACAAAAGACTTTGTTCTGTTTGATGGCATCATTACAACAGACAACACATTGATATAGAAATGAGACCATGATACAATCAAAGGAAACAAATGGGAGACAGCATAGCAAAATAACTGACAGTAAACACAATTTTATGAGTTGACAAAAGAGACATGACAGTGTATACCGTATTTGCCGGCGTATAAGACGACTTTTTTGCCCTGAAAAAGATGCCTCCAATTGGGGGGGTCGTCTTATATGCCGGGTCGTCTTATACGCCAGCAAATAGTAATTGGGAGGCACTGCGGCTGCCCGCGGCTGAGGCACTTTTGCGCACCGTGGAAATGAATCCCGTGAAGCCGAAAGGAGCAGCCAGCCTTCTCCCAGCTCCCAAGGAAACGAGGCTCGCACCGCCCGGGCTCCGCTGAGGTATCCGGCTGGGGCTGTCAGGAGTTGTTACCGCTGGCGCGGCTCTGCGCGGCTCCAGTCCCGCGTTGCCTCGGGAAGGGAAAGGCAAAAAGGCAGAGCCGCAGCGGCGCTTTGCAATGGCAGCAGCGGCTCCTGGTTTTGCCTTTCCCTTCCCGAGGCAACGCGGGACTGGAGCCACGCGGAGCCGCGCCAGCGGTAACAACTCCTGACAGCCCCAGCCGGATACCTCAGCGGAGCCCGGGCGGTGCGAGCCTCGTTTCCTTGGGAGCTGGGAGAAGGCTGGCTGCTCCTTTCAGCTTCACGGGATTCGTTTCCACGGTAGACAAAAGTGCCTCAAAAAAAAAAAAAGTGCAAAAGTGGAAGGCGTGCGGAAGAGGGGGCGAGTATATAACAAACTATATTTTGAGTGGAAATGTTGGGGGGTCGTCTTATACGCCGGGTCGTCTTATACGCCGGCATATACGGTATTTGTTCCTCAGTGCTTGAAATACGATTGTTAGTAATAAAAGTCAGAAGATCAAATTCTTTATACTGCCTGTGAGCACAATGCATATTTCTCTATTATGAACTTCTTATATGAATTTTAATTAATAATCTGTTCATAATAAAATCTGACCAATTTTTCATTTTGTAATTTGAGGCAAGAGTGACACCTTGTGTGCAAAATAAACAGGACAGGACAGTGATCTTTGTTCCTTGTTCTTAGCATTACAAATCCACAAAACTGCTTCTTAGAATTTTAGACCATCAATCATATATACAAATAGAACAAATTAATCAGAATAAGTATTTTTAGCATTGATGCAACTACAAAAATTCATAGGTGGTAACGTAAAGCATTTTGCACTGCTTAGATTTATTTGTAGTGACTTGAAATAAATCTAACATCCTCAGCAAAATTACTCCTTTCCTAAACAATTTACCAGGAAAAGGAATGAAAGGGGTATTAAAAACAAGAAAGGAGAAAGGGAAAAAGGGGAAAAAAGAGGCAATAGAAAGTACAGTGGTGGCAGAAAGAATAGGGCTTTAAAAAATGAATTGTAGCCCCCATGAATAAACCTCAAGCCATGATTAGTAAACTATTTGAACCAGTGGATCCATTGGAATTTTGAGAGCATGCTGAAGCACAACTATGGGGAGTTGCTATAATAGTTAATTTTACCATAGGGTTAAATTTCTTAACTCCAGCAAAAAGTCAAAGAGAGAAATGATTGTAAAAAAATAAAAGGGAGAGGATTTGGATGTGTTCTAGCGGAAGGAGAGATTTAACCATAAGATTTTAATGAAAATAAAATATATATTCAGTGAGAAACTATTTTTAGGCGGATTCATTAATATGTCTGTGTGGTTAAGTATAATAGCTTCATCTTTGGTTTTTACATGCTTGTAAAAACAAACCCAGTGGCTACTTTCGAATCATTAACACTTAGCAGAGCAGGCCAATGCTGTTTTTAAAGTACCGTATTTATCGGCGTATAACACGCACAGGCGTATAACACGCATCTTCATTTTAAGAGGGAAATTTCAGGAAAGCGCCCGTTTCACCCCCACTCCCACCCCCCGCGCGCGCTTCAATCCACAGTGTCCCATTCTGCCTGCCTGCCTGCCTGCCTTAGTTTCTGGTTGTTTGGGAGCAGCTTCGGCTGAGAATAATAACTATTCGCCTCTTTTACTCAGCCGAAGCTGTTCCGATTCAACCATTAACGAAGGCAGGCAGGCAGGCAGAACGGAGCACTGCGGGCGGGCGGGCGGGGTGGGGGTGGGGGAGAAACGGGCGCTTCAGGGAAGCCCCCCCCCCCCGCTTCTTTGAAGCAGTTTCTTCCTGTGCTGGTGGAGGAGCGAGAGAGCGACTGAGAGAGCTGACCCAGAGAGAAGGACAGGCTTCGGTTGCTTCCTCCCTCCCCTTCTTTCATTTGTGTCCTTGATCCCCGATCCCAGCAGCATTCACCGAAGGCTTCTTAACATTATATCGGCGTATAACACGCATACATCATTTGCCCCCTATTTTCAGGGGTAAAAAAGTGCGTGTTATACGCCGATAAATACGGTATGTCATCAGTTATATGTCATCAGTTAGACCCAACAAGTTTTTCTAATATAATTTTAAAAAGCTGGAAATCATATGATTTGGTTTTTGTCTACAGAGAAGTAAAACGACAGCTAAAATATGACAGCCTAAGCATGAAGGAGAAAGCTGCTGTATCAGGAGAATCGCGTCAGGTATTTTTGGTTGGTACCTGTCCTGGAAAAAAAGGGGGAAGGGGACTTTTTTTAACCCAGCAGCCCTAAACAGATGGGCTCCCATGCATATACCAGCTAGAAATGAAGCCAGATTAACATTTCCAGATTTCTGCTTTGACCATAGTGATCTGATTTCCTGTCCGGATCGCATTTACTGTGGCTTTGATCGGTCGATTTGTTGTCTTGTTTACCCCTCTTGGACTGGCTGAAAATAAGAAAGAAAATATCAGAGATTAAAAATGTTTGCTCCCTCAGTGAACCTGAAAAAAAAAAATCTGCAAGCTGTTTGCAGTTTCACTGATGAACTTTGTCCAAAAATGAAAAAAAAATGCCATTTAAAGATAGTGACTAGTAATCAGAAGAGAGGGAATGTGTCTTCCACAGCATACACAGTAGCCAACAGACTTGAGAGGTTTTCTATAATTAAATAAAATGAAGTAAAGAGAATTAGTTGTGTTGGCAGAAATAAAAAAAACACTATTACTGACATACAGGTAGTATAGGTAGTCCTTGACATATGACCCCAATGGAGCTCAAAATTTCTGTTGTTAAGTGAGACATTTGTTAAGTGAATTTTGCTCCATTTTACAAACTTGCTTGCCACAGTTGATAAGTTAGTAATCTGGTTCTTAAATGAACAGAGTTTTCCCATTGACTTTGCTTGTCGGAAGGTTATAAAAGTTGACCTTGGAATACAGCAACTGTCATAAAAATGAACCAACTGCCAAGCATCTGAATTTTGATCACATGATCATGGGGATGCTACAAAGGTCATAACTTGAGAAAAGTGGTCATAAGTCACTTTTTTCAGTGCTGTTGCAACTTTGAACAGTCACTAAATGAACTGTTGTAAGTCAATGAGTTGTGTGTACTTAACTCACAAACATTTATTAAATGACTGTTCAAAGTTACAACAGCATGAAAGAAGTGATTTACAACTGGTCCTCACACTTAACAACCATCACAGCATCCTGATGATTATGTGATAATGTATTTGTAATAGTTGCAGCATTCTGGAGTCATGAGGTCACCATTCGTGTCCTTCCCAGCCAGCTTCTGACAAGGAAAATCAATGAGGAAGCCAGATTTGCTTAATGACTATGTGATTCTCTTAACAATGATTGGATTTTTTTTGTAAAACTGAGTGTTAAATTAATTACTTTGCTTAGCAATGAAAATTCTGCTCCTGATTGTGGTTGTATACCAGAAAAATAGGCAAAATTGTGTTCCCAATGGCCTGAGGTGGGCAAAGGATGACACTGCATGTTTTTGCCCTTGAGGAATGGTCAGTGGCCAAAACTCACTCTAGGACAAGCAGGTTCTACAAACCAGACTAAGTGCTAAAATACTGTATGTAAAAGCAGGGGAGATATGGGTAGAGTTAATTCCTTATATGGAGCTTCTCCATTCACAAAACAGGCTGCCATGATGATATGCCCAAATGCAAGGCAAAAGATAGGCTGATGGGACTGCCTACCTCCCCTCTTGACTCCATCTACCCCACAATATTTTACTTTCTTCTCTGGAAAAGAAAGACCTATTTGTAAACAATGGGCAGATCTGTGTTTTTTCTGCAGCTTGCAAGTATCTCATTACTTTATTAAAATAATCTTTTATAAACAAACTCAGATGAAAGCCCAGTGGAAACTATATAGTTCACTGCTATCCAACATAGCCTGCCACTGCTTCAACAGACAGGAAAATTGTACTCCTGCTACAGTTGATAGGGAATTAAGACCTTTTCCAGTTCAATCAGCCAGACTCTATCTGGTTACCTAAATTAGCCAGGAAAATCAGGAAAAAGCAAGACTAAGTGTTTATGTAGTATGCCGATATTCCTGTCTGCATTACTAGTGTTAACAAAAATTACCCAAAACTTGTAAGAAAAATGTATTAATACAAGCAACATAACATTCCCCTGAAAAACAAAAGAAAACCACCAAAAGACTGTTAGTGATTTTTATTCACACATTTTTGCTAATCTTCCAAAAAAAATCACTTTTGCTTAGGACTAAATATTAGCAAACATTTCTTCAGTAATCTAGATTTTAATTTAAAAGTCTTTTTACAGTGAGGATTTACAGCATCACAAAAATGGCTTTGCAATCCCAAATTTACCCCCCCCTCCCTTTCAGCTCATATGTGCTAACTACATCTTTTCTCCAGGCTATTATTTTAAAGTCCTTATTCTGTATTACAAAACACCAGCCTGTCACAAAATCCAGAGAAGGATGAGGAGAGTCAGGACAATGACACAAAGGGAAAATGTACATAATGAACCCAAGGACTGGGTTCTGCTAAGAATTACTAATGATTGTTAAATTGACAATGAATGAATGTAATGGGTTTGGAAAAACAGAATTGTAGTTTTGGCTTAATTTGTTTCATATATTTCCCAACTTAGGCAGATGAGTTGATTCCTTTTGTGAACCATACTCTCCAAACAAGATTTTCTGACACATTACTTTTATGTGTGAAGGGTCCTGTGATGCAAACTCCCTTCCTATGCCAGTCCACAGGAAATAAAGTTTGCATAGAGCCATGTATTTGAGGAAATACTTGAAGTGCACCAAGGAGGGGCTCCTTGGATTTTGGCCAAAATACTTTACTGTTTTATTAATAGCTTACAAAAACAGTGGTTTAGCCACAATTGAACATTTCACCTTTGCATTTGGCAGAGATTTTAAAGGGTGTTCAAAGTTTCTCCATCACAAAGAGAAGGTGAAAATATACTGAGTTCAGAACAAATAAACAAAAAAACAAAACAACCTCAAACATTTACAAAATGTGAATACCTCCAAATTATCCTGGAATCCCATTTTATACCTAAGTAATCACATAGGAAATGTCAGTTAGTAATCTGCGTAAATCAAAATTATTGTATGAATGTTACAAATCTGCTAACAATGATTAAACTAATAGTTATCAGCTATCAATTATTAACCCCATTTAAAATATCTTTTTATATTGCAATATTTAGCTTACCTGAAGCCTCCCTCTTTTTTCTATTTTTTGGAACAGTTCTGAGCTGTTCAGTCTTTTACATGAAATGCAAATAACCCAAACTAGAGGGACCAGTTATCAATTCTTTTAACCATAGTTGACAGACTGCCTTGGTTTGCCATTTATACATACATTCTTATAATGGATGTGTCTGTTCCCTTTTCTCTCTCTCTCTAGATTTCTTTTTGCAATTTATGCATTTATTTGACCTTGGGGATATAAATCAAAGTTCATATACACCATCTTTAAAATTCAGCTAATACATTGACTGTCGGTCTGTCTGTTGTACATGTGGCCTCTGAATTCCAAGGAATGTGATACTATTGCTAATGGGAAATAAGCCCATGCATGCAGTATACTTCTTTTTTTAATTAGCTATCAGAAGCACAGAAGATAAATTAACCCCTTTTTAAAATGCTTCAAGGTAGAAGAAAATTACATCTCTCCATAATAGCCAGTACCTCATCTTCTAAAAACTATAACAAGTAAAGCAATACTGGTTTTGATGTATGAACACTCCCACATTTTAAAAATGACTGTTTAAAATGCCACAATGAAGGGAATGGGGAAGAAAAATTATGCTTATGTATTATGACATTATATTCATTAGTTAAATGTTCATGTATTTATGTCAAATATTTTCATAACAGCAATGGAAACACATTGCCAAAGGAAGAATACAGCAAATAGAAGCTAAAGTGTTGCCTTACAGAAAGAAATATGGTTTTCTTCCCTTAAGTTCATACTAAAGCTTTTTGTAGTATAGAATGCTTTTAACATTATTTCTTCCTTCCTGGAATAATTTTGAAGTGAAATATGCTGTTATTGCTTCGGTTATCCTATGCTGTGGAGGTTTTATGTTCGTTATAGGTCTTCACTTTTATGTTTTCCCAATTTTATATAAAAGTCACTTTTGTGCGATTTGGGCAGGCATATAAATGAAAATGAATGAATGAATGAAAGAAAATTGTTGACCATTTGATTAAGCCAGGAATGAAGGCTTCTATATATTTTTAAGATAATGAAAGTTGTTTCTGAAGATTACATGGGTATAATGCTGTTTCTTTTTAATTATTTCCCTATTTGATTTTTCTATTTTTTTAATGAAGATTTATTCCTTTTTTAATACACACACACACACACACACATCCCTTCAGTCACTGACCAGAAATACATATACATATATATTCAAATGATTTTATATACATTGTATTAAATTAGATTCATGTGATACATTATGATATACAGTATGTTATCTATAACATGTATGATACATTATACATATACTATAGCACACTATGTACAAAATCTAAGAAATGGAAAAGATAAGCATGTGGTTTATAACATTTTTCATTGATGTCTCCATAGGAATGACTTTTAAGACATTCCCATGGGGAAAATCATGTCAAGTTCACCACTCACTTGCAGGATTCTATTATCAGAGTACTGAAATCATCCTTCTGCTCTTTATCACAAGCGTCTTTGTGAGGCCTTTGTGTTTTTTGTAGATCATTTCAAAATGAATACATTTTTCCACATTCCATATTCCCAGTCTAACTTCTTTTTACATGCTATATTCTATAATTTTGTACACATATCATTTCTACAAACAGCATACACACATACACATATTTGTGTGCATGCATGCACATATGCATATATGCACAAACATATACAGCATATCATATAGCATGAATTAACATGCACATAATGTATACAACAGCACGTATGATGCATTATACAAACACACATACGCACAGTAGCATCTGCGAGGGAGTCAAAACAGACAAGTCCGTTTTGTTTGTGGACTAATCCAGCGGTCGCCAACTGGTGGGCCGTGGCAAAATTTTGGTGGGCCACAGAAGAAATGGCCCCCAAAAGCAATTAATCTGGGCCGCGTGGGAAAACAAGGCTGCTCCGCCCACATGCCCCCCCATATCCTTTGGCCAGTGCAAAACTCACTTTGACTGAGAAGCAGAGAGCCACGCGAGCTGCAACTTGAAGGTAAGACCAACGGTGGGGGGAGGGGGTAGCTTGCTAAAGGTGGGAAAGAAAGGTAGATTAGAAACTAACCGGTAAGTTCATAATCGCCCTAGGCATTAAAGACCCGGGAAGAAAAGCAGCTGCTGCTGCTCATGTTTCTGCTGGATGGCTGCAGCAACCATTGCCTCCAAATGGGGTGGGGGGTGGGGATGGAAGGAA